ATACTTGTATTATAACCCAATGTGTGGTGAAATCTGGTGAATGTCTTATGTGTATTTGAGAAGAATGTGCAGTTTGCTCTTTGGGGTACATTGGATCCATGCTGTGTACTTCTTTAATGCTATCATCTATTTATTTTTCTGCCCATTGGTGAGTTTGTCTTCCACCACAAATGTTTTTTGAAAAGTGTCTTCAGGACAGTAAATTTCTAATATATTTTGGTGGCTTCTTGTCTAGTAAGCATTGATGATTGTTGCCTTCCTAAAGCACTGTTCCCTTACTCACTAAATAGTACCCATCTTTTTTTTTTTAACTGAAAATCTATTTTGTCTAATATAAGTGGTTGTCCCTGCCTTCCATTAGGTCCCATTTGTTTGTAGTACTGTTTTCTAGTCCTTTGCTTGTCTTTGGAGCGCAGGTACATTTCCTGGAGATCAGTAGGTTAGATGTATTCTATTTACTAATCCAACTAGATACTTGTACGAGTTCAGCCCATTTACACTGAGAGTGACTGTTGATTTGTGAAAATCTGTTGTTGCCATTTCCGTGGTTCAAGCTATTTCTTTTTTGAGTTTGTGTATGGTTCCTTTTCAGTATAATGTGAAAGGCCCATTCAATAGTTCTTGGATGGAAGTTCTAGTATTTGCAAACTCTTCAGTTTCTCTTTGTGCGAGAAGGCCTTTACTTCTCCCTTGTGTCTGAAGGAGAGTTGCAGGATAGAATATTCTTGGTTGGCAGTGTACATATTTGGAACACATTCCATTCTTTCTTTGCCCATTGTTTCTTAAGAGAAGTCCAATGTTAACCTAATTGGGGATTCTTGGTAAGTTATCTGCTTCTTCCCCTTTGCCAGCTTCAAAATGCTGTCTTAAAGCCTTAGAAGTTTCATTAGTATAGGTTTTGGCATAGGTCCCCTTTGTTCTTTTAGCTTCCTGGATTTGTATATTTAGTCCCTTCTCTGGGTTTAGACAGTTTTCCTCTTTTTTTCATTAAATACATATTCTGTTCCTTTATCTCTTACCCTGCTAGCATACCCATTATTCTTAGATTACTTTTAAGTGTCTTCATTTATTTTAAAAGTCATTTCTCCTTCCTGTTATACCCAGATTCTATGTTCATTCCTACCCAAACTACATTAATTCTTCTAATTGGTCTATTATAATTTCATACTTTTTCCTGAAATTTTCATCTCCCCATTGCACTTTTGATAACTTAAATCTCCATATTTTTATTTAGAGCTTTGGTTTAGTGATTTAATTTTCTGAATTTCCTTCCATGTCATTAGGATTTTGAATTGTTTCAGATAGGAAGACCAATCTTCCATGTCTTTGTGACTAGGTTTTAAATTTGTGCTCTTTCTATATTGTAGTATATTGTGGACATTGTCCTTGTGCTTTCCCACCTCCAGTGTTTTATTTTGGGAAGCCATTGTTTTGAGGGTGCTTTCCAGTTTGAATGAGTATATGACCCTAGCACAAGACCAGGAGTTGCCTGGGTCACCATGCATTTCTGCTGCTGCTTTCGAGTTTTTACTTTGAACTATAAAGTAAACCATGTATGTCTGTTTCAATGAACTGTTTCTGGACAGTTTTCTAGTTTTGTTTAGAACCTATTTCTGTTCATTATTCTTGACTGTTGATTTCTGCATATTCATCAAAACAGCTAGTCTTGGTCTCATGTGGCAATGAACCTCTTAAATCAGGCCAGCCCAAGCTTCTAGTTGTATCTCAAACCTCTTAAGATTTCCATCTCTGTTCTTAGTGGCTTCTAGTAGTTGAAGGTGTGCCAAAACCACTGGAGTGTCAGGTGATCCAGGGACCCCTTGGGTGGAAGTTATAAAAGTTAGGGCATATATGTATACAACCTTCTCCCAGAGAGTTACTAGCAACTAGCAGGCTGGAGAGATGGCTGAGGGGGTCTCTCAGCCCTTAGGTACTTGCTAAATTAGAAATATGGCTTTCAGATAGCCTCTGATTTTGCAGATAAAATGCCTTTTGGAGAAATAACTAGGAAATGGGTAATTCTGCCTGCTCACTTTGTGCTGAACCCTGGTGACTTGGGAGTAGCTAGGGATAGGCAAGATGAGTGCACAGCACTAAGAACTGTGTGTGCATTTGCTAATATTCATATGAATCTTCTTGCTTTTGGAGCTGGGTGTTTAGGGGCTCATCATTTTGTAGGAAACTTAAAATATTGGGGTTCTAGATGTGGTGTCTAAACACTTGCTCCTTAGATCTAAGTTAGAGCCACCTCCTAATTGTGTACGATAGATACAGGGTTAATTTAAGGCCAAGAGTATGTCTTAGCCTTTTCCTGACTGTCTTCATTCATTCACTTGAGGTGTAGGTGTTAGGCTAGATTCCAGGTGTCTTTGGGATGTAATTGCTAAGTTTGTGAGGAAAGGACCTCAGGTGTCTTCTATGTTGCCATTTTAGTTGGCTCACTCCCTTTTTCAATTCTTTTAGTTATTTTTTCTGTTAATAAAATCCATTTTTCTAGATGGATTATTTCTCAAAATGGTGAAATAGTTATCTGTCCTATATATTGCTACTAAACTTTCCTGGAATCACTTAACTTCTGCCTGTTATATGTTTACCTCTCTATTTAATCCCGCATTTCCGCAATATCATGAGAAATGCATTTTGAGAAAAGGATTTTTAAAAATCCTATTTTGGAGTTACGTATCTAAAAAAATCCTTGTTTTAAGGATACAAGTGAGCTACTTAAAGTGAGAATAGATTTCAGGACAAAATTAAGACCTTCAAAGGCATCATTTTTTGTTTTCTAACTTCCATTCCAATACCACAATAATCTAATTTATTTTGGATCCTTTAATGAGACTTGGTTCCTTGTGAGAAAGTTTTAAGATTTTGTCATTTCAGTACACTGAAAATTTGCAACTTGTGTGTTTTAGATTGTATGTTTCTCATTATGCTGTACATACATTAGGTTTCTTGGATCTGGAAATCTATACCTTTCAGTTCTGGGAGAGTTTCAGGATAACTTGCTAAGTCACCTTTTTCCTCCTCTTAGAAACTGCTAAGTACTGGTTTTCCTGGAATAATCCTCCAAAATCGCCTTATTTTCTCATTTGTTTTATTTAAGAAATACTCATATCTTCCAAGCCTATTTTACCTATTCTTTTAATCATCCTATGTTTATTTCCTAGATATTATCAACATTTTCTGAAATAAGAGCTAGCATGTTTCATAAATCTTGTAACAGAATGATTCTTAGAAACAATTGACTCTTCCACTGTTTTCTGTTTATATGGTGCTAAAGCGGTCAACTTACATCTTTAGTTTCCAGTGTTACTACTTAAACTTAGTTTAACATGGTTTCTTCAAACTTGTCTAGTGACAAGAAGTTGGCGAAAAAAAAAATTTATTCATTTTGTGGGCATACTTCAGATGGGGTTAAAATATATGTAACTGCTGGAGTCATCTATTTCAGCAATCAGTTGGCCAAAGCATGGGAGTTTGGCAATGATGTGGACACTGGAATGCACTGCCCAGTTGAAACAAAGTCCAGATGTGTATAATCCTCTCCCCCACCCCCCCCATTTTTATTTTACCATAAGTGGGGTTGAAGAGGGGGAAGTGGGTTGTTGTTTATACAGTCATCAGGCATCTACACAGAAATTGAATCTCTGGAAAATATTCCATGCCAAAACATCCCATGTATGTATGATTTATGTAAACAAGTGACAATAATGTTTGCTTCTGGTGACCTTTTAACTGCAATAGCACCTTGTGTGAGTTTAGTTCACCAATTTCTGTAATTTAACGTGCAGTCTCCTTAAAAACCCTGTATGTGTTAATCCTCACTTCAGTAGGTTTGGAAAAGCAAAGATCATAATAATACAATCGTTGAGTACCTCGTTCTGAACTAAAAAATAGCAAGGACACCTAGTTCTTGGGGTTTGTGTGTGTGTCATTGCTGACTGTGTAGAATTGTTACATCTGATAGTAAAAAAAAAAAAAAGTGGAAAAGTGGTTGTTACTATTTTTATAATATTCAAATCTGTTTTTAGTTTTTAGTAGTTTTAATGTAATTCCTCAGTAGTCCAGAATTTGTCTTCCTGTTACTGTTCACCTGGTACCCCAGGTACCAGAGATCCTTGTTACTCATTGTTGTAAAAGCCATTTTTCTTTTGTATTCTAAATTCTTCAGTTACCACTGTACAAAACTGAGACTTAGTAATTTTGAATATAAGACCAATGTGAGTCAGCTAACTCTGCTCATGAGATAAATAGCAAATTGTTTTGCTGTCTTAAGTATTCCATGAATAAAATTTGCCAATTATGTATTTGCAAAAAATTATGACAAAACGGCAGAATTTCAAAGAACAGGATCCCATATAACTCCAAGGAATCTGAGTTTTCTTGAATTCTGGGCCAGGGCCATATGAATTTGGCTTATATAGGTATCTTGTACAAAAGAATACTACCCTGTCCCTATTGTGTACATAGGTAAGTTGTCTTCATGTGCATCTGTCCCTATAGGTTAATTTAAAAGTTATCAAATATTAAAGTAAAGGATTCCTACGTGAACACCCTCAAAACTTTAGAAGCTAGGATAGGGCAAGAATGCTTTAAAATATTTTCCCATGGCCACTCTCGTATTTGATTGTGAAACAGGCATGTTGCTCTCTCTAGATTTGAACTAGAAGGCATGAAAAAGGATGTTTTCATGTCTGCCTTAAAAAGTACCAGACATGTGAAGGAAACTGAGGTTTCTTATTGCTAGAGCTAGCCAGATCCACCACATTTCTCTCTGTTATTTCTGATTTGGAATTTTAAAACTTAATCATACATACAACATATACAAGCTGTTCAGCCAGTAAAATTAACTTGCTTTCCTGAGGCTACTATAGAATATTATGTCCATTTACTAACATGATTTAAAAAAAAATCTAATTTAGAAAGGATATCTGTTTAACAGGGCAAAGTTTCCTACCCTTCGAAAATGTTTTAATTATCTTTATTTCCCTTCTACACAGCTATGAATTCCAAGTGAAACCCAAAAATCCACTTGGTGAAGGCCCCGCCAGTAACACCGTGGCATTTAGTACTGAGTCAGGTAACTCCCAACAAAAATGTAACTCTGGGATATATTTTTTACAGTGGGAGCTTGTCAGCTAAACACTATGTATACAGTTTCTTAGATTCCACTAAAAAAATCCATGGAAAATAGCAAATTGATGTTGCTCTTAACAGGGATCACCACTTTTACCCGATGTTAGGAAAAAAGGTAGGGCATATAAGTATGTGTTTATGTATGTCAGACAGACAGACACAGTACATCCACAATGGGAATTCAATTGATAGTTTTTTGACATGTCTGTAAAGCTTTTTAATATGGCATTTTAAGCTCCAATTTGCTTATGATACATGTGTACCACAGCATTATTTGTATAATTACACCAATGTTCATGGCAGCTAAGTGATTTAATCATTTAGTACTTTTTGTATGAAAGAGGAAGCTTTTTAAATACATGTAAAAGCTAGAATAAAAGAGGTTTAACTACTCAAATTATGTAAGATATAGATGCATCCCAGACAGAAGTGATTCTCCAGTCAAGGACAGTGTCTACAATACTTTCAAACTCAGTCTCTAGCAAAAGTACACTATCTTCTTCACTATGCCCCTGGAAATTTGAAACTTACCTTTTGACTGTTTCTCCTCAGCTGACCCAAGAGTGAGCGAGCCAGTTTCTGGTAAGTTTCAACACAGACACAACTGCATGCTTCCCTCTAATTTCTTATACTAATTTAACTCAAAAGGTATAGCAGGATTTATAGTTACAGCCTCAATATTAAAGGACAGGATTCCTACGTCCATTTAGTCATGTTAGTATCTTGAGCAGGTGTACATGTAGTATTTTGAGGAAAATTTAAAGAAAACGTATTCTCAAAATACCATATACACTCGGTGTTAATGGAACATTTGAGGTAAGTTGGATATTTTGAAACCTGCCTTTTATATACCAGGCCAGGTCAAATTTTGAAGCTATAACATTTCAACTTTTAATAATGTTACATTAAAATAGCTATTTAAATGGTACACGCAAGAACCAGGAAAAAACAAAACAAAACCCTAAATTTGCTTGTAAAGGGATCCTATTTACATCTACAACTGCAGAGACTGTATAACAGCTAAACATACTGCTCTTAAAACTTATCTTACCCTTGCCAGAACCTATTTGGGGGTTACAGGTTTAAACTCATTTGGTCCCAATATTTAACACTACAGAAAAGTAAGTATCATCAAATTGTCAATATAGTATGCAAAGTCCTTTTTAGAAAAGCTTTTAGGATAGCTCTTCACTACCAAAAGGCAGACACTAAACTCAGACCATGTGTTTTTCTTATGCAGCAGGAAGAGATGCCATCTGGACTGAAAGACCTTTTAATTCAGACTCTTACTCAGAATGTAAGGGCAAACAGTATGTGAAGAGGACATGGTATAAAAAGTTTGTAGGAGTACAGCTGTGCAACTCTCTCAGATACAAGATATATCTGAGCGACTCCCTCACTGGTAAGCAGAATAACAAGTTTGTTTTGATCATTATCGATACTTCAGGGAGTGCTAGCATTCTATACCTTAGTGTTTTCTATCTGCTATACCAAAAACTATAATTGGTGATGTTAATACAAGTTTTCTTTTTGAGCAAGATATTAGAATACTTAACCATAGAAACAAGGATTTGAGACATGCTATTAGAAGGTACAGAGTAGATAATACTATTTGAGCTAGCGTGTACACACTCCTCTAGTAAGTGTGGCAATATAAAATCCAAACACTGGCCTAGATTCAGTGAATTTTATTTCTGAACAAAAATTTGAGGCTGTTCACAACTTGATCATTCTGTGTTTGTTCAGTCTTTCAACAAATAGTATCTATTTTGTGTCAGACGTTGTTCCAAAGTGATGGACAAAGCAACATACAATCTAGTAGAGAAAGACAATATATACATAGGAATTAAATGTAGTATTTTGAGGAAAATTTAAAGAAAATGGCTGAATGAAAGCCTTTCTGAAAAGGTAATACTTGTAACTCTGAAAAGAAATCAACCCAAAGAGCTAAATGGGAGAGAAATAAAAGTTGCATTTTTAAAAGATGACTTAATCTCTGAGCAGAAGAGGGGAAGAATCAATAATATATATAGGCAGGGAAAAATGAAAGGATACTATGTGGGGAGACTAAAAAGGTTAAAGAGGGGAGAAAAAGTACAAGGGCTTAAGTAAAGACTGAAAATTTTAAAGAATTTGATTATTTCAGAATTGTCTTATCACAGAAAGTGACAATTTGTGATCCTTTCAAATTCTGTTTTTTTAGGAAAATTTTATAACATAGGTGATCAAAGAGGCCACGGAGAAGATCATTGCCAGTTTGTGGATTCATTTTTAGATGGACGCACAGGACAGCAACTTACTTCTGACCAGTTACCAACGAAAGAAGGTATGTTTTCTGAGGCACCTTTATAGCAGTACTACTCCAAGTATCTGGCTAAAAAAAAAAAAATCTTCACATGTATATAAATAATCTTAATATGAAGAAGACTTCAACACAAGTTTCAACTTGGCTCCCCATATCTGCCTCTATTTCTTAGAGCCACACAAAATTATATAGACATTTATAAAAATGCATTATATTTGAAGGAAATTTGATTTTGTTAGGGGAAAAAACAAACTCCCTTAAAATATATGAATACAATTAGAAGAGTTCTGGTAAGAAATTAAGGACCACTCAATTTTTGTCCATGCAGGAGTGGTTCATTTAAACATTTACTTACTTGACTAGTCCTTTCAGTATCAGTTTGTTCACTGGTACTTAAAAACAGCACATTTGTTAAAGGTCAATGTATGCATCATTGTATATATTTCATTTCTCAGTGAAATATTTAATGATTTAATGAGTGATCCTTGAAGGAAGATTTTATGCAAGTTTAGTACTTACAATAGTTTTAAGATTGTTTAACATTTGAATGCACAGCCTTTTACTCAGGTCAGTTGTGCAAAGAGCAATACTAGTCTAATGTGCAGAAAATATACTTTACCCTTCAACAATATGGGGAATTAAGACTGATTGAAAATTCAAGTATAACTTTTGACTGTACTGCTACTGACTTGAAAGGTAGAGAAAAATAAACTATAACAGGAAGCATTGTAAAAGGTTGTCTTCCCTTTGAGTTAGCCTGAGGAACTGAAAAAATTCCTCAATAATGTGGACCACTGTGTGCAAAATCAAGTTATTCACAGGTCACTGTATATACAGTATACCGAATGTTTTAATACTCAAAAAACACAATAGACTTCTCCCCTTTCCAGTTTTTGTCTGACACTACCAACCATCCCATCGTACCTTGAGGCAAAAAATGTCAGCATTTCAGGTGCTCCCAATGTTGATGCAGATATTACTAACTCAAGAAAGATGACAGAGCTTCTGTTTATCCATTTACTACAATACCTCTTCCACCTAGAGTAACCTTTAGCCATTTGGTGATACTGTTCAATCTGACCAACAAAGGTAAAAATTAACATTAAAACATTTTCTCTCTTAGGCTATTTCAGAGCAGTTCGCCAAGAACCTGTCCAATTTGGAGAAATAGGTGGTCATACCCAGATCAATTATGTCCAATGGTATGAATGTGGAACCACTATTCCTGGAAAATGGTAGATGCTACAGTCATGTTCCAAAGTTCTTTGTCTCATCTTTGCCAAACATAATTGGATGTTTGTCACATTCATTTAAGCTGTTATGTTTACTAATTAATATGTATAAAAAGCAACATTAGATGTTTATTAGAAAAGACTGCTGAGATATTTATCAGGTTTTACAAAGTCATTTTAAGAAAGCAAGATATTAACAGAATAACATTTTTTGGGAAGCTGGCTCCCTAAGACATGGTATTTTAAGAGATCATTTGTATATTATTTATCAGACTGTTGTAATGATGTTTTGAGATACTTTTATAACAAAATTAACATCGAAAAACTAATATACTTTTTAAAAGCTATTTACTTTCGTTAATGTGTAGTCTTTCTACTTGTGAGTTAATTCCATCAATCTTTACTTGGTTTAACTTATTAGATCAAATTAGCTTCAGCATGTATTATCTGGAGGGGAAAGGTCCTAAGGTTTAGATTTATTTAAACCTCAATTTTTAATGAGTTGAATAATTTCTCTGAAGCATTTAAGCAATTGTGTTTATACTGTTATGCCAATCAAGTTATATGCAGAAACTGAGCACAAAAGCCCACAATATTTACTGTCTTTAACTCATCTAAAAAGGTACTTTCTTGGGCTTACCTTCCACATGGCTTCAATTTTATCAATGCTACATATTTGTATTTTTCAAACAAGTATAAACCCTGTAATAAAGAGATGTAGTTTTTTTAAGATTATGGTCTTCCTTTCTGAATGGTTCCTCTCTATAAAGAAAATAAGGTTATTCAGTGAAATACTATATTGTGTTTTTCCTAAATACCTGTGATCTCTACTTTAAGCCAATGCCTATTAAATGCATTTCTTTGAAAATCAAGAAAAAAAAAAAACTTAAAGTATCAGGAAGGATTTACTTTTTTCTCATGTAAATGAATGACTACATTAAAATTACAAGACTACTAATAGATTCAATCATCTTTATTAACCTATCAATGTTACATTTTATACATATTATCTAGCTGTCTTCTCAAAGGGATCTACTTTAGTACATCTTGTTAACAGTAAAAAGCCCAGTATAAGATGGCTAAACATCAACCTAGTATTTTAATATCCTCTGGACAAGGCAAGCTAGAAAGTCAATCACTTACACATATGTAAGAGTAGTGCTTCAAAATAACTAGGAAGCTGCTACACTTAAGCAAGGGGAAAAAAATCTTTCATTTTGGTCTTTAAGTTCCAGCAAATTATACTTTGAATTAACAGCACTGGTATTATAAAAAATGCTCTGCTTTTTAAATTTTTGAACTTCAATACAAATTAAAATAGTATTGGAGTCTCTTGGGAGGCATAGAGCTAGCAGCTACTCACTGGTGTAGCTAAGCCTCTATCGATAGCCAGGCCCAGGTTGAGTATAGCCCTGACCAAAGGGAGGACGGTTACGCGCAAAAGGGTTAGGCCCACTTGGAGGAGTCATGGTACTTCCTGGAGGTGGGGTAAAACCTGGTCTTGGTTGATAGGCCCCGGGTTGGCTTGGAGCCATTCCAGGTTGTGAGGCTGGTGCCACAGTATAATTAGCAGGCTGAGAAGTCTGGGTAGCATAAGTTTGTGGAGGATAATTGCTCGCCTGGTACTGCTGTGGTGGTTGTGCAGGCAACTGCTGAGGCTGACCAGAAAAGGCAGGAGCTGGTGCCTGGGAAGCTGGTTGCTGGCCATATCCTTGGAATTGCTGAGGTGGCTGGGGTCCAGTCTGCTGACTATAGCCTGCTGAAAAGTCAAAAGAACATTCATATTTTTCTTTTGGTGAAAGTTTTACACATAATGCCTTACTGCTATGGGCCAAAAATGGTGATAATTTAGCATACTATTCCCAAATATTTAACCAGTAGTAATTTCTAACATACACTATTTCAACACCAAGCAATATGAAACAGGTGCTTTCTAGGCAATTTTCAAACCCTCTAAAACTGAAGCCACTATATATTATTTCATTACAGCTGTTTCTAGACTATGTAGCCCCTGAGAGCAAATTTCTGTTGTAGCATAACTCCTAGCATGAAAGACATGTTAAAGTGATAAAATGCAGGAATTAATGCAAAAGCTAATCAATAACCTGTTTTGAGGGGAGGCCTATTTAACACACCAACCAAATAAAAATGTTAGGGAGCTGAGTATTTTTTAAGTGAAACAAATACATCTTATTGAGCGGAGAGACTTTCAGATAATTCACTCTACAAAAAAATAAGCCTTGTAAGAATAAACATTAAGTACCCATTTTTTACAATCCTTAAAATCTTGCAACTTTAAGATTTAGAAGAATGTTTTTGCCTTTACAACACAAATTCTTTGACTTAGCAATAACAGCATAACACACAAAAAGCATCACCCCATAAAATCAAAAGCTTATTATTTACCAGATGTAAAAAAATTTAAAAGCATGTCTGCTCACTAAAAACTTTTATCTCTACCATGAAACACACCTGCAGCTACTTGCAATGAAACCTCTCCATTGACTGGAATCCTGTCAGCATTAAATACCAGATACATAAGAAAATTATTAAAATATGTACAGCCCTGCATTAGGAAAAAAAAAAAAGGTTTGAATTTGAGTACATTCTGAACTCACCTTGAACCTGGGTTCAAAATTTACTCATGAAAGAAAGCTTTTTGATATACTCCATGAATAAAACTGGAAAATGTTACAAAGGGAAACTTGCAAACCAACAGTGTCAAAGATGGTCCAATGTTACCACCACCACTTACAGTCTCCAAGCAGAGTATTTAGTTGACTATTTCCATATCTCCCAATCAAATTCAAGTTATAGGACTAGTAGGATCAGAAATACAAAGAATAATCTGAAAAGAACTAATTGTACTCAGGAAAGACCCTGACTAAAAGCATTTAAGAGCAAGCTTAATTTTTAAGTAAATCAAATATCTAATGCATTTTACTCATGTAGCATCTAAATACTAAAGTCAATTTATGATAAGCCCTGCACTTCATACAATCTCTTACCCTCTACATTAAAAAAAGGTTTTTGTACTGTTAAGTTTCTGAAGATTGAGTTTTATACTAAAAATGCCTCACTTGACACTATATGCACAAAAGAAATAAAACCAAAGTACCTTTTGATCTTGGCAACTAAATCTAAGCTGGCCTTATTAACTGAGTTTGCAAGCAACCAGATTCTTTATTCTTTAGCGAATAACACTTAAAGGTCCTAGAAATCATTTCACAAGCAGCTTACTAGTCTTTAAAATTGTGACAATTCTATTTTTTTTTCTATTATATTCTTCGAAGTGTCACCCTCCCTTTAAAAATTAACTGTGGTTAGGAACACCAGGAACTCCAAGAAATGGAAATTGTTTTTTGTTTTTTTTTTTTTAAATAAATGAACAGCACAGGACAAGGTTTCATATGGCCTACAAAGCCTAAAATATTTAGCCTTTTATGGCAGAAAGTTTTCAACTACTGGTCTAGATTGGAAAACGCAATAGAAAAGGGATTCTTATCCAAATTTCCCTAAATGGCTACAAATCCTTCAATGTGTCACCATCTCCTTAAACCCTTCTTGCCGCATTTCTTTAAAAAAAAAAAAAAAAAAAAAATGTCTGGGACAACATCAGTGGTCCCCAACCCTGGCTGTGCTTCAGAATGATCCTGAAATGATTTTAAAATATCAAATACTGAACCCCCTTCTCTCCCATCCACAGTGAAACAAAATCTCTGGAAGTAGCACCCAAGTAGCAATACACAAAAAAGCTCTCCTTGTAATTCTGAAACACTATGAGAGTTGAAAATTTCCTGGATCTAATAAATATATGCCACATTCTCTATACTCTAGCATCTACTTTTTCTCAATTATATAATTTGCTACACTTTTAAAGACTGCTTTCTAAAAATAACTTTCCCCCAATATCCAATTTTAAATTTATTTCCCCTATTTTATATATTAAAAACTATAAGAAGTTAAATCACACTACAGAAAATAAAGTCCAAATAAAAACTGCCTTATGTTTTATAATATACCAGATTCCAATTTAATGATAGAAATTGTATGGTCTAGTATAAGGGGTTGGCTAACTTTCTGTAAATCCCAGATAGTAACATATTATAAGAGAGCTACAGGTTCTCTCTGGCAACTACTCAACTGTCATTATGGTACCAAAGCAGTCACAGCACAGAAATGAACAGAAATGAATATGATCTAATAAAACCATTTACAGAAATGAGCAAGATATCACATTTTGGCGTATGGGCTATAGTTTGCTGATTGTTGCTCTCTCTGATGCTTCAAAACTCCATGAAATAGGATATAGGCTTAGACAGTAATTGATGTTTAAACACAGCTGAAATTTCGGTGGTAAGATGTTAATGATGTAAAATGAGCTAAAGATGTAAAATGAGCTCATCGCAAACCTCTCTCTGATGTAACATATATAAAATTACATGATTAATAACCATAACATTAACAGTGCTACACTTACATACTTAAATATAACTTCCAGAGGACAGACAGTAAAATAGAATACCCAAATGGCTATTTAAAACTACTAAATGTTTTTAGTAGACAGAATTACCTTTTATATATTTTTACTTTTATGGCTTGAGTTTGGAGATTTTAAAAACACATAACTGAAATATGGGTTTTATATAATAAGGTCACCTTTTCATGTAACAAAACAGTATTTTTGCAGGTACTGAGAGTACATTGGGATTAATTACTCCATACAATGGAGATGGGGGGGAAGGGGAAAAACTTTGCATTTTTGTAGTTCTAAGTCAGCTAAAGTTAAACTGATCATATCAGTAAGAGGGAGGTAGCCTTGTAGTCAAAACTTTTTTATGTTAAAGGTATCATACAATCATCTGCTGTGTTTTATTTTCCCTTTGGATAACTGAAACGTTTACTTACAATAAAATATGTAAAAGTTTTTGGAAAAAAAAATACTATGTTGGTGTAAATATTACAAATTAAGGAATTAAGAGCAAGGGCTTAGATTTTAATGAATATAGAAACAGCTCAAAAACCATGAGCCGACTCCCTTGGGACACCTGCTCACCTGAATACTGAATACCATACTGCTGTGGTGGCTGAGGTGGTGCCTGTGGCTGCTGAGCACCATAGCCAGCCTGCTGTGGGTACTGCTGGTATATCTGACCTAAGAAAGACAAGATGAGGAAAAAAAGACAGGTTTAACTTAGCAGAGAGAAGTATTTTTAAGGCTCATTCACATTCTCTCTGCATCCAGACATATAAACACAAAGAGTATAAATCTGTTCCATGTAAAGTGTCTATGAAGACACTTTACTTTCTCTGCTATATAGGGTAACTGCAGAGAACTCTAACCCACAGCAAACAGTCCTAATCCTTTGTAAATTCCAGAAAAACAGGTTTTCAGTGGCCAACAGATATGTACTGATAATGTTCAGTAAAAATTGAATGAGCTTAAAATAAATTTAAAAAATCTGAAGTGGGCCACATACCATTAGCAACTGCTACATCATCTAAAATTTTCAACTTTTGTTACCAGAAGAACTGACTCTTTGGTAGTAAGTATTTACACATCTTTACTACTAGACTTCAAAAACACCACTGGCATTTGACAACTATTTGACTTTTTCCATCATTTGAATATCCCACCCAATCAAGTGTAATCCAATAAAGCCTACAGGGTTTCTCACTACAATTTTTTAATAACGGCAGACCTGGTTTAACACTGGCAACGTGTTCTTAGGAATGGAAGTCCTCTTTACCTGGACCAAAAATCTCTGGACAAACCATTTATATTGTTTTTACCTGTGATTTCCAAATAAGGATTTACTAGTTTGTGTCTTTATCATCTCTACTACTTCACTGCTCTATGTTGGATTTAGCTAGAAGATCTAGTATCTAGCATAGCAGTAAAACATCATTTTAATATTTTGTTAGTATTCACCATTTTTCAATAAATTTATATTCGCTAATTCTTTGAAAAATTTTCAGAGTGCTATTAATCAAAACATTCTTATAAAGTAAATAGCATACACAGCATGATCTGGGAAAAAAAAAAATTACTGAAAACAAGTCACCATATTAACTAGTGCTACTCAAAATGAGCCATAGTAGACAACTAGCACTCGAGGCTGAGATCAAGAGGAGCCCACTGTACAGGACTGGTTGTTCAGTTCAATGTATTCTAACACTGCATGAGAGTTTATAGCCAGCTTATTTTTTCTTTGTGGGTTTTTTAAAAATAAATATTTGCTAACCTATTTTTAAGCTATAAATCCTCTTCCCAAATACCCCAAAAAGAACCCTCTGTAAGTTCCTTAAATATTTTCTTAATGGCTTAAAACAAAGGCAAATTTAGGTACCACCTTACTCATGGTTTATTTTTTACACACCTAAATTTTAAAGTAGAAGTGACAAAAAAAAAAAAAAGGCACAGAAATATAACCAAGGAGGGATGGAGGAATATGTATAGAAATGACTGTAAGTTCTTATTCTTAAAATTCAAGTGATTGATTTACAATACATCAATCAACAAAAATGTCAACCTCAATAGCAATCCCTATTCTGTATCTACTTCAGATACTGAACAACTTTACAACTTATCTGGAGTCAGTATATCACAGTAAATAAAAACCACCACTAGAATATACATGTTATTGTGGAGCTTTACTTTAAAAGGAATCTTAAACACACTCCTCATAGAATATATGGAGTTGTCCTCAAAAAGGCTGAGATTAAGGCTCTAGGTAGTAAACCGCTGCCAAGAACGAGTCTATGACCTACTCCAAGAAGCAAAATTGGTTTCATCAATAAAAACTTCGAGGATACACCTATTATTAAAAGACTCACTTGTAAAGATGACAGTGCCGGGGCTGTACTTTGCTACAGTGAGTGTTAGACAGTCTCCCCCTCTATAAACTCCTACACTTGTATGTATATGATAATGAGACAGTACCTTTATTGTCACAGAAATTAGTAAGATTAACTCCACAATACAAAAATGAGCTAAGAACAAACAATTAACCACAAGTATTCAGTCCCCCAGCACTGAAAGCTGATCTGTATTCCAACAGAATACTGTAAAAAAAAAAAAAAAGGGGGGGGGGCATTTTTAAGAAATGGTCAAAAAAGACAGTTATCTTCTCCCTTGTAATTTCTCTTGATCATGTGCTCTGGTGGAAATGAAGCCTCCTGCCAAAACCAATGTGAGGGATTCATTTTGGAAATTAAGCTTAAGATAACTACAAACGCCTAATTCCTGGAGTAAAAACAAGCTAATATAGAATCAACCTGAGTGCCCAAGAACAAATAAAGATGTGGTATGTATAAACAATGGAATACTACCCAGTTATTAAAATAAAAACAAAAACCACAAGATGAAATCCTACCATTTGCAACCATATGGACAGAATTAAAATAAATTGGGAAATTGTGCTAATCAAAATTAAGTCAGAAGGGAAAAAAAATACCAAATAATTTTTGAATATAAATAAAGCAAAGCACAGGAATAGACAAAAACAAACCCTTTAACTTTGACTGTAGACCTGAGGCGACCAAAAGGGGAGCGTCTGAGGGAGAGGGCACAATACTACAATGGAGGATTATTAAAGGTCTGTTGAGATTAGTATGACAACATGCACTTGTTGAGGTGTGAACTTAACTCCCCTAAAACACACAGTGTTACAAACCAATTACCTAAATTACTGTAATAAAAAAAAAAAAGTCTTTTCAACTGGTAGAAAGCAGAATTGGTCCAAATAAATTGCTCACAGATCCCTGACTCAAACCTAGATGTCTCTCTTACAGTCATGTTTTGGGATAAAATGTTACACAGTAATAATATACATAGTTGACTATGGAAATGTATAGGGGTGACAAATGTATAGGAAAAAAGACAAGGAAGATATCAAGTGGAAAATGTTAGCCTTGTCAGGCTCCTGATGTGAATAAGCTAACTATAATAATTATGAGACAATTATGGAAATTCAAATATAAATGTATGTTAATATCAACATTCCCTATTAATTTGATTATTTTAGTAATGACACACCAGTTATTTTAACTAGATAGAAAAGGTTATTATTTAAATAGGCATAATGAAAAATTGCAATAAATAACATGTAGGGTTTGATTAGAAATAACATGTAGGGTTTGATTAGAAATATTTTAGCAAGGTAATCAAAATACAAAACAGCCAGGTTAAAAAAAAAGCCAGAATTACTGTAAGTGTGCATGATGGATATATGAAAATGTAATTATTCTGTTGTCTACTTTTGTGCTTACTTCAAAATTTATATCACAAAAGGCATTTTTTTAAAGACAAGCTTATTATCTTGGCATATGATTTTATAGATTTTAATTATATCCTTTTTAAAGTCTTCAGTTTATCAAAGAGCAATACTTCTTGGTCTCTGACACTTTATAGGGCTCTTCTCTAACTTCACCACTTATTTAGGTTTTTCACAAGTACTCCAATGTACAAAGTTCCCCAGTAACAGAGGCACCCTCTTTCTTTGAAAAAGGATTATTACCAAATTTTGTTTCATTTTATGATCTCAACATTTTGTTGAGCCTTGTAAGTGAACAATGTATTAAAATTCTTGCAAAAAGTATACATTTCCAAGGAGTTTAAACAACCTAAAATTGTTTCGAAAATTATTTAATGTTTTATAAGCTATTCCTATGTTAATCAGTCATTACAAATATTTGTTAATAGTTCATAACAAGCAGCTGAGCAAACTGAAAATGTGAGATTCTTTATACATCATCCATCAAAGACTTCATTAGTCTTCATTTTGTGAATCTAAACAAATGATACATTAATCTAGAAGCTGTGCTATCTAATACATTCACCAGTAGACACATGACTAAGCATTTGAAATGTGGCTAACCCATGTCATGCTGTGTGTTTTGAAGTTTTTCAAAACTAGTTTCGTATTCCAAATTACCAATATGTAGTAAAAAATTATACAACGTAAACTATTACTAACATTTCAAAAGGAATTACCACTTACTGATATACCAGATATGTCTGGTTAAATAAAATTTATTACTATTTAGATATTTAGATTTAATTTATATATAAGAATAAGATATTCTTTCCAAATCATTCGTTAACAATATTTCACAACTTTTTAAACTGTTTTAGTGTGGCTCATAGAAAACTTTAATTTCACATGGCCTCCACTTTATTTCTTTGGGGAAGACTAACCTAGTTATACCGGAATGCTAACCTACTAGCTGATGTCACTTATTATTATTAACTACACAAGCAGACTTGAAAAAACAGTTTTAGCAAAGCATACAATACACCACCCTGCATATCCAACTGTTAATTTTATGCCTCTGGAAAAGGGAACAGAGATAAGAAAGTTTTCTATTTTTCAATGTACACCCTTTTATATTCTCTAATTTGTACTTTTGAAAAATAATTTTAATTATTAGAACTCAATTGAGTAATTTGAAATATTAGTAGCGTCTTAAATCTTTATAACTGAACAGTAATTATTATTTGATACAATTATCTTTCCAATTGCCATTCTTAAATATTACACACTGTTTTAACTATATACTAAAAAAATAAATAAAAATACAGGTGTTATTTCACCTGATACAGACATTATGCTTTCATCACAGTGAAACTCAGTTTTTGCCTCCCTCTTAATCCAGTTCTATGTCAATTCTATTTTCTTCCAGTTATAGCACTTGTGTTTGGTGCAAAATTGGCTGAGAAAAAGAAATTTTGCTAAGCAAAAAGACATTCTTCCCAAATCATTTGTCAGCAAAATGCCACATTACCCTCTTCTACTAGTCTCTATGACTAGTGTTCATCTTATGAAACAACTAAAGGTTTCCTCCTGTACTACAGGAGGAAAGCATTCTTAATAGTGCTCAGCTCATTTCAGGCTATGCTTTTTCTTTTTTCAACATGATGGATAAAGTCAATCATTTGCTTCTGGTGCTAAGTAACTTACTTCTTGTGTTGGAAATATATCATTCCACAACCCTGCCCCTTTATACAAATAGTTAGAGCACCACCTGGTGTTTGTTTATAAGGGGAATTTGTAGTTTTAAAGGTCCTAGTAAGCATGGGCAATTCACAGAAACAGGACTTTAGTACCTGGAAGAAATCCTAGAGATCAGTAACCACTTAGCCATATATTCTACACAGGGTTCAGAGTGGTACCCCAATGTATGCTGTCCTGAGTTTGTGATTCCTCAATCTTCAACTATTGCAATACTACTTTTAGCTGTTCTAAATTATGAAATTTTAAATTATATTTCATTTCAGGACTAAAGACATTTGTTCAAAAGAACTTTAATTCAATTTTCACAACTAACAATGAGAGAATATCAAAACTCAAGAGACTAAATTTGCTCATTGAAAGACAAACCATTTAGAGAATGCTTGATTTAAAACACATTCTAATTATTGGAAAGAAAGACACTTGAGTATTACGTGAGTACAGAGATTTTGTCATGCCTGATTATTCAGATTGTCTCTATCTTACTCTTCTTTTTTCCTGCAATCATTGTCCCTTTCTATTTATCTACCTGGAAAACCTCCTATATTTCTTTACACTCTGAGTCCTATTAAAACATTTCCGGGCTCTCCTTGGTGGCGTAGAGGGTTGAAGCACAGCACTAAGAAGCTAAAGACACTTCAACATGAGTTTGTTCCCCACCGTGGAGGTGATCCACATAGTACAGCAGACCTCTCCTGACCCACCCGCTGCGATCTTGTCTGTTCTGCTCCCCACTCAGTCTCTGGTGAATCCTCTGGCCGCCCCTGCACCTGTGGCCTATACCCCAGTTCTATAGGCATAAATACATAAATCTTAAAAAAAATGTCCAGGTGCCCAAAGAAGTATTTAATACAGTGATATTTGTTGTATTTTAAAAAACAGAGTACACATCAACAGGCGGGGGAAAAAATACATTGTTTTTCCTATCCAAAAAAAAAAGGCTATCTGCATAAGAATATAAATATTATTATTTAAAAAATAATAATAATAATACTAAACTGAAGTTACACTTTACCTCTATATTTGTCTTTTTAAATTAAAAAATACACAGATGCTAGAGGGATAGGAAAAGGAAAAAAAATAGCATTTAATTATTGTGTGAAAAATGTCACTTTAGACCAATCCTTAGAACCAGAGATTTCTGTTTGGAAACCCACACCTGACCTGACAGGTGTCTTTCCTTTACTTGTTTCCATTGCTATAGTAAAAACGTAACCCTAAGTATTAAAAGAAAAAAAAAGTGTTACTTTAATGAGACACCTCTGACCTCACAGTTATCACAGAATAGCGACTAGAATGAAATCTTCTGATCTATCACACTTTATTTTTGTATTCATATAAATTCTTTTTCAGGTAATCTTTCCTTCCAATAACAAGAATATTTGACGTATTATTGTATTTTTTAAACTCAAATACATAATGTATCAAGTAAATAAATTTCACAACTATATTCACAGCATAAATGCATATGTAAATTGCTTATAATTAAAAACAATGCTGCAATAAACATTTCTGCACATACATATTCTAAGCTCTAGTTTACCTTCACTCTGACCTGCTTGTGTCTGCGCTCCTGTATATGGTGGCTGCTGTGTTTGAACTCCTGGGTGAGCAGCAGAAGAGGAGGAGGCAATGCTGTCAGGCGTTCCTGAACGATCTTCTGCAGGAGCACTTGGTGGCCCTGATTGGTCATGAAAAGCCAGTTCAGTTCCTAGTATAAGAGCTTTCTCCACTAAGATCAATTAATATGTTTGGTTTGGAAAACAAATACTATAGAATATACACACACACACACACAAATCACAAATGCAGCCTTTTACAAGAATGTACATACTTTATTTTTCCCTTTAATCTTTTCAGCATTCAGCATAAATGCAAACCCTTTTCTATAAACTATGAAGTACTATATTCCTGATTTCTAACATTTCCCTGCAAAAACCAAAACTTATCTGTGCATACAAATATCCTGGGCCTTATACAACCTGCCACCAAAAGAATCATTTGATTCTTCAATGAGACTCCACAATCCAAATCAAGTTCAGTCCTCTAGCTTAGTATTCGAGTCCAAAAAATTTTTTTCACAATTCCTCTTCTTATATGCCTAATATTCCTACATCTAATATTTTTCTGCCTCTAATACTATTCCCTCCACTGTCACATTTTCACATATCTAAATCATTCTAATAAACCTCTTTCACCCACAAATATATTTTTCAGGGTGTCTGGAAATTAACTACATCTTAATCTAGTTGGTGCTTTAAGTAGACATATACATGCTTAAAAATTGATTGAACTGAATACTTAAGATTTATACACTTCACCAATGCTATTTAAAAAGGAAAGGAGAAAAGAGAAGAAGGAATGAAGGATGGGAGGGAGGAATTAACTTACCTGAAATCTGGTCATCTGTTAAGCCAAATGCTGACATGACATTTTTATTGATTTCATCTTGATTTTTTAAAGGGTCAAAAGCTGACATACTTGCTGCCATAACCTGAGTAGACTGTTTTCCAGAAGAATCAGAAGATGCAGGCTTTTCTTCCCTACCATCCACACCATCTATAAAAGGAACAAAAATGTTGCCATTTTATCTGTACACAATAAAATAAAAAAACACATAAGATAGGCAAATATATATGTACAATCTGAAATATTAGTAATAAGTATCTCTAAATACAGACTTTGGAGTATTTTAATTCTTTATACTTGTTTATTTTAAAATAAAATGGGGAAGAGGAATGCAAGTTAAACATTAAGTTTCTTCAAACAGTTATGTATCTAGCACCTTCCCTAAGAATTATTAGATGAAAGAAAAATAAAAGCAATATAACAAAGAAATATTTTATCTATTGGGGGAGAAGGGAGAAGAAGAGACCAGATGACCCAAATCCTAATATGAGATACATATTGGGCACTAGTGATTTATTCTCTAAAAGGACAAGAAACTTTCTAAAGTTATGCCATCTACTTCTATGCCTTTTTCCACTTATCAATTGGTCTGTAGGAAAACAAGCTAAACCAATGCACAAAAAGCATTTTTTAAATTTTCTTTCTTCCTTTAAAATATTTATAATTCATTAAATTATTGATTTAAGTGGGTTATAAGTGATGTGCCTGTAATTTGTTGCAAAATAATAAGGAGCTAAGGTGGTACAGAAAAACTGTGAGTAGACAACATGATACTGACTTACGAATTGGTTATTTTTGGAGCTAGGTATGAATTCATGAAATTCGTTATATTAGTGTGTCAGGTTTACATTTATCCATAATAAAGTATTTTTAAAAGCAGAAAAGTTTACACATTCTAAACTGGTAAATTTTCTTCTAAAGATACCAAAGTATTCAATAGTCATTTATACCACTACTGAGTTAAAGGAAAGGAATTCAAGGATAACTTACAGGTCTCAGAAACCAGAGACCAAGATACTTAAACATACCAACAGAGCCCTCCCTGGTGGTGCAAGGGTTAAAGAGCAGCACTATGAGGCCATCCATAGCCACTAAAACACAAATTAAACAATTAACCACCACCATCAACCCCCCAACAGGGAGGTGACCCATATGGAATGGCAGACCTCTTCTGTCTCTGCCTCTTCTGTCTTGCTGCTCCCCTCAGCAGTGTATTTCAGTCAATCTGCCTGTTCTGCTCCCCACTGTGTGAATTCTCACACCCCCAGAAACTCAAAAACTTTGGGAAAAAAAACAACAAAACAAGTAAACAAAAAGATACTGCTAAGCATTTACTCAACTGACAACTAATTTTCTGTTATTATAAGTAAATGGACACCTAAGTTGTTAGATCATCTGTAATCAAAAGAATATTTATCCTGTAAAAAACTTTTAAGTAATAAGTAGCATATAAGCACAATGAACTTGAAGTGCTCATTCATTCCTATTATTTTGCTGGTTGCATTGCTATTTCCTCAATTTAAAAAAAAAAAAGTCCTATTAAATATTCCTTTAAAGTAAATTACCAGACAATGACATAAGGAGATGAAGGCATCCAAGTTCATGAAGAAAAAAATGAATATAAACAAACCTATTCTATCAAACATTATCTATCAAACATCCAAGTTCATGAAGAAAAAAATGAATATAAACAAACCTATTCTATCAAACATTATCTGTAAACAATCCCCCACTGAAAAAGAAACAGAATTACTCAAACTGAAAAATATTAAAATTTATATAGAATGATAAAAGGCATTAAGCAGTGAAAGCAGTCCTTAAGAAAAGGAGACTATTGGAGGCATCACCTTACCTGACTTTTTAGTATAAAGCAACTAATTAAAACAATTTGGTATAAGAATAGAAGATCAATGAAACAGACTCAATAAACCCACATATTTGTATACCTACATATATAAGCATGTCAATACATGATTCAGGATAAAGGGACCAAGACCATACAAAAGAGAAAGTCTTTACTATATGTCACTAGAAAACCTGGACAGCAACACGTAACAAAAATGAAGTTTTTCAAACACTTTTTGACTCCATGCCCAATATAGATTTCAAAACAGATTAAAACATTAAAGATTTGCACCAATAATATACATAGAAGAAAACACCAGCAATATATATCATGATCTCAGTAAGTTTTCGTAGAGTATACTCCTAAAGCAAGGGAAATAAATAATACACACTTAGGATTACCTCAAACAAAAAAGCTTCTACAAAAAAAAAAAAAAAAAACCTTCTACAGAGCAAAAAAATATATAAATAGATTAACAACATCATCCTATTTAGTGTGAGAAAATATTTACACAATATACAACTGACAGGGGTTAATATCCAAGATCTATAAAAAAATCTACACAATTAAGTAAATTCATAAAACAAAAAATGAATGGCAGTAGCTTGTTCACCAGAGGATAACCAGACAGAAGGCCAACAGATAACACATCATTTTTAATTTGAGTAAGAAGTAGATCAAACCTAAATGAGATACTATCTTACACTTGTGAGAATGGCATAATTTTTTCTTAAACCCAGAAAGTAGTGGGGAAAATGTGAAGAAAGAGGGACCCTATTACACCACTGCTGGAAATGTAAACTGGTGCAGCCATTTTGTAAAGCAATCTGGATTTACCTTAAAAAAATAAAAATGGAAACACTATGAAACAGCAATTCCACTCTTGGGCATCTATTCAAAGAAAATGAAATCATCAATTCAAAAAAATGACATGCCCTACAATATTTACTCCAACAATATTTGCAATAGCTAGGAAATGGAAACAACCTAAGTGCCCATTAAAGGTCAAATCAAGAATATGTGGTATCCTCACAATGGAATACATGTAACAAAAAATTAATCCATTTACAGCAAAATCGAAGGCAGTCAAGGGAATTCTGTGTAGTAAAGCAAGTCAAAATGACAAACATCAAACATTTACACAGTGGACAACTAAACAAAGCAAAGGACTTACAAAAACTAGTTGATTTTAATAAACATAGTGAGACTTCTGAGGATAAGAGGAAGAGATGGCAGTGCGGGTCAAAGAGTGTAATAGTGGTGGGAGAAAAAATTTAAAAAGACTTTGTACTTTGGCCATCTTGTTCCTAATTCCCAAAATAGATTAGTTAAAAAATAAGAAAAATGAAGATTTTTGTACATGGAAAAGTTCCAAGACCCTAAATTTGGTCTTATCATTTGCATGTTATTTTCTGGAGTTGTGGACAGAGGCAACTTAAAAATAAGTAAGCCTATCACTCATTCAACTTCTTCACCAATCTCCGTTCTCTAATTCCAAAACTATACCCCAAGAATGTATCACATCAAACGTACAAATTACTCCCTCACATCTAACACTAATTTGTTCCACTTAAAAACAAATTCTTTTCACTTACTGCAAACTAAATCCATCCAGAAACAAAATATCTGTCTACCAGTTGGCCTACCAGTTTTTGCTAGAGCTATGAAACAGATCAATCATATTTAAAGTAGTTTACACTCTAGTCCCCTCAAAGAGGTAAGCAAGTCCAAAAACCATTACAAAGGCAGAGGAAGAACATAGCTGCCATGACTGTAGGTGAAAGTAAGCCATTTTTGGTTCTAAAGGGTACTGACAGCTGAGAGGTTGTTCTGTTTTGTGAACTAGATCAGTTTCCAGCATAGGTTTTTTTTGGTTTGTTTCATGCCTTTTTTTCCTGAGATTACTAAATCAGCATATGTCCTAAGAGCTTACGAAATTTCATGGAAGGAAGGTGGACAAGAGTTAAAGTTGTCTTACCAAGCAGAGGAAAAAAAAATAGCTGCCTTTATAAAAAACAAAGCACAAATGTTCAGTTAGATAACTCTGATAATAAATCCTTGGTGGTACAGCGGGTTAAAGCAAAGCACTAAGAAGCTAAAGCCACATCAGCACAAGTTTGATCCCTGTCCTGGAGGTGGTCCACATAGTGCGGCAGACCTCTCCGGACCCGCCCACTGCTCCCCTCAGCAGTGTACTCCATCGATCTGCCTGTTCTGCTCCCTGCTCTGTCTCTGGTGAATCCTCTCACCGCCCCTGCCCCTCTGTCCTGTGTACCCCCAGTTCTGTATGCAAAAATAATCTTAAAAAAAAAAAATTAAATGGTATGATGGCCACACGAAGAAACAAAGGTTGTAATTTCCAACATACAGAAAGGAAACCTATTTTAACATCTTCCACATTAAATATGAAAATAACAAAAAGACATGGAAATAAAGGGCTAGTAAAGCAGTGGAGATAGTGGGAAAATAGGTAGCTTATAAATCTATTCCTCAGGACAAAACACAGACTACTATTATTTCTGCCCAACACTGGCTATACCTGTTACATTTTTTTTTTTAAAGATTTATTCATTCATACAGAACTGGGGTATAGGCCAGAGATGCGGAGGGTGAGAGGATTCACCACACACAGAGCAAGGAGCAGAACAGGCAGAGAGACAAAGTACACTGCTGAGGGGAGCAGCGGGCAGGTCAGGAGAGGTCTGCCACGCCATGTGGCTCTCCTCGGGGGCAGGCGGGGATCGAACTCATGCGGAAGTGGCTTAAGCTTCTTAGTGCAGTGCTTTAACCCGCTGAGCCACCAGGAAGGGCCATACTTGTTAAATTTTTATCTAAGTTTCCCAATACTCTACAGATGTTTAAACCCTCTGAAATAATATGCTATTGTTTTGCTATTATATAACAACTTTTCTAAAAAATAAATAAGCTTTCTTCAAATCCTTAACCTAAACTTGGAGTTTTTTGTTTAGGTGGGGTACAAACAGGTAATTTGCTTCAACCTATATTATAAAAGGTTTCATCATAAAAAAATAAGAAGGATCTCACTAAACTATCTCACTAAACTATTTCAGCAAATTTTCAGAATGTTCTGAACTATAGGCTTGGAACTAGAAATTACTACTCATTCACTAAGTATTTATTATATCTACCATTTCCACAATTCTACATGGCTGGAAGAAGAAGTGGGGAAGAGAAATCATGGAAAATGCATCTTTAACTAAAGAAAATATGAACATTTTCATTAAATGGGTCCAAAAAATACAGTATTATAGACGCTAAAGGTAGCAAGGGTTTGCACAATGCC